CTGAGGTCTGGCAGAACTCAGGGTGCCAATGGGACAGGGCAGCCAGGGGCTCATCCAGGTCCCCCTGCCTCTCTTTTTCACACAAGTGTCACAGGGGTTTGCCTGTGAAGCTTCCCCACCAGCTTCCCACACAGCTGGGACAGCTGCTTTTGACAGGTATGACTAGCAGACTACTCACCCTTTTTTGAAAGAGCTTTTAATAGCCACATGTCATTCCAAACCCTGTTCTTCCCTAAAAATAGAAGTGGTGCTGTCTGCTCCAGGTTCTGTGGATTCCTTGGCTGTTGCTGGGCTTCCAAGATAGGGCTCACCGGGAGAGACTGAGCTAACTTCATGCCAGTGGGATTTCAGCTGTTCTGAATTTATTCTGGTTTGCCTGTTCGTTAAAACCAGTGCGGTGGATGAGTGGAAACAGGGAGGGTAAGGAATCCTGGGTTCTTGTCAGACCCTGGTTCATTCTTCTCTTCATGTCCTTGAGTGAGGAGCATAGGTTCAAGAGCTCTTTAAATAATTTGCAGGGTTGCTCTGCAGCTTAATTAATTCATGTTTGTAAAACACTTTGGGATCTTTAAGAAGTGTTATTTAATACTCCAAGTTTTGCTGTCAGTATTGTTAGTGCAACCTCATTTATGAACACTTGGCAGAACAAATATGCCAAGGGAGGAACTTCTCAAAAGCACTCAGGTGATGTTTTCAGAAGTGACTTTCACCAAGACACACAGTAAACGCTTCAAAAAGTACCTAAAACTCCCTATGAGTTTTGGCCTCCTCAGTCATTTAGTGGCACATGGGAAAAGGTTGCATTTGTTGTTGAGAGGAAGCTGGGGAAAGAGGCTCTGCCACCTATCAGGCACTTGTGTCAAGGGCAGATCTGTGTGCACAGAGGGTACGGAGGTCCCTGTGCTTGTGCCAAGCACAGCGAGCATCGCTGTGTCTTTGCCCTGGTGATTTGGGCCCTGGAGCCCTCCCTAGCGCCACAGGCTGAAGCCTGTGGGGTGGGACAGAGACATCCCCTTGCCCCAAGGTGGTGAGCTGTATTTATTTCCGTGAGGGGTGTTCCTGGTGGAGGTTTTCTATGCCTGTTGCTGTTGTCTTTGGATTGTACAAGTCCTCTGGGAGTCCTGGGAGTCCTCTGGGAGCACACTACCCAACTGCTAATCACCAGCTCTAAGAGCCTGGGGACCATGGAGGCTGGGGGGGAGGGTGGCAAAGACGGCTGAACCCAAATCTTGTGTGAAGAGCAACCACAAAGCAGAGAGCAGAGCTTGCTGAAGGTGGGTTTGCAGTCAAACCACCACCAGTATGGTCCTGTGTTGGCCATGCAGAACACTCATCTCCCTCAGCACCCAACCCTGCTTGGGCGGAAACTCATGCCAACAGATATTGTCCTGTGCAAGGAGGCCTGGTGAAGCTAGTTTGGGTTCTTCTGCTCAGAGCTCAGAGGAGGGGCAGAAATGCTTGAGGTATTTTAAGATGTAGCAGTAGGAACAAGTGGCTCTCTGCTGTCATCCAAGCCACTTTTGGACTCCAAGTGCTCCTTAAATATTGCAGTGGTTGTCAGGCAGGAATTGTTTAACTAATAAAGTATCGTTCCTAATTTGTAATGACCTTGGTGGTTGAGTTCACACAAGGGAAACATTGCTGTAAGAAGAATCAGTTTGGGGCAGAGTTGTTTAATTAGTAAGCCTTCTGGGATTCATTCGAGAGTTGGAAGAAATTAAAGCATTTTGTCATCACAGTCAGAAGAATGTAGCTGCTCATGGGCTCTGGTTTGTTTTTAAAAAACTGCTAAAATTGACTGCCTAGCACAACGCTGTCAATGCCAAAAGTAAGCAGAAGCTAGTCAAAAAACGTGTGAAGAGTTTTTAGAAACACTGGAAGACCACAGCAGAGTGGGAAAAGAAAGCAGGTCAAAGAAAGGTTACAATACAGCATTTGCTGAGGCTAAGGCAAATTTCTTGGCCAGTACCCAGGCTGACAGCCAGGGAGGCAGCCAGCTGCTTGACATGGTGCTTGTCTTGGATATTTATTTTGGATTATCTGGGATGATTATCTTGGTCTCTCTTCCTGCTACTGGTTTCTTCATGTGCAAGTCACCTCTTTCTCTGCCTCTCGAGGACAACCAAGTTACTTCCCAGGCAGTAGATCCTGGCTGGCAGAATCTAGCTGGGCATGAGCGGAGTGGGAAGGGGACAAGACTGCTCGCTCCCAGAATGCAATGGCAGGGCTGCTTGTGGGTCAGAAGCTGCAGGCACATGCCTACGAGTCCAGTGCTGGGTGTCTGCGAGCAGCTTGTTGTCTGGAGACAAGCGAGGGGTGCGGGGTGGCTCTGAGCCCTCCTATCCATGCACGCGTGCTGGGCCGATGCTCTGCTCCCTCTGTGCCTCTTATCACACCAGCCAGTGTCACCTCCGGACTCCATGTGCCTCTCTGCCTCTTCGCAGCCTGGAGGAT